ATAGACTAGACTATAGACTAGACTATAGACTAGACTATAGACTAGACTATAGACTAGACTATAGACTAGACTATAGACTAGACTATAGACTAGACTATAGACTAGACTATAGACTAGACTATAGACTAGACTATAGACTAGACTATAGACTAGACTATAGACTAGACTATAGACTAGACTATAGACTAGACTATAGACTAGACTATAGACTAGACTATAGACTAGACTATAGACTAGACTATAGACTAGACTATAGACTAGACTATAGACTAGACTATAGACTAGACTATAGACTAGACTATAGACTAGACTATAGACTAGACTATAGACTAGACTATAGACTAGACTATAGACTAGACTATAGACTAGACTATAGACTAGACTATAGACTAGACTATAGACTAGACTATAGACTAGACTATAGACTAGACTATAGACTAGACTATAGACTAGACTATAGACTAGACTATAGACTAGACTATAGACTAGACTATAGACTAGACTATAGACTAGACTATAGACTAGACTATAGACTAGACTATAGACTAGACTATAGACTAGACTATAGACTAGACAATAGACTAGACATAGACTAGACTATAGACTAGACTATAGACTAGACTATAGACTAGACTATAGACCAGACTATAGACTAGACTATAGACTAGACTATAGACCAGACTATAGACTAGACTATAGACTAGACTATAGACTAGACTATAGACTAGACTATAGACTAGATAGACTAGACTATAGACTAGACTATAGACTAGACTATAGACTAGACTATAGACTAGACTATAGACTAGACTATAGTTAGGCTATACTAGACTATAGACTAGACTATAGTTTAGACTATACTATACTAGACTAGACTATAGACTAGACTATAGACTGGTCTATAGTCTAGTCTATAGTCTAGTCTATAGTCTAGTCTATAGTCTAGTCTATAGTCTAGTCTATAGTCTGGTCTATAGTCTAGTCTATAGTCTAGTCTATAGTCTGGTCTATAGTCTAGTCTATAGTCTAGTCTATAGTCTAGTCTATAGTCTAGTCTATAGTCTAGTCTATAGTCTAGTCTATAGTCTAGTCTATAGTCTAGTCTATAGTCTAGTCTATTGTCTAGTCTATTGTCTAGTCTATAGTCTAGTCTATAGTCTAGTCTATAGTCTAGTCTATAGTCTAGTCTATAGTCTAGTCTATAGTCTAGTCTATAGTCTAGTCTATAGTCTAGTCTATAGTCTAGTCTATAGTCTAGTCTATAGTCTAGTCTATAGTCTAGTCTATAGTCTAGTCTAGTATAGTCTATAGTCTAGTCTATAGTCTAGTCTATAGTCTAGTCTATAGTCTAGTCTATAGTCTAGTCTATAGTCTAGTCTATAGTCTAGTCTATAGTCTAGTCTATAGTCTAGTCTATAGTCTAGTCTATAGTCTAGTCTATAGTCTAGTCTATAGTCTAGTCTATAGTCTAGTCTATAGTCTAGTCTATAGTCTAGTCTATAGTCTAGTCTATAGTCTAGTCTATAGATAGTCTATAGTCTAGTCTATAGTCTAGTCTATAGTCTAGTCTATAGTCTAGTCTATAGTCTATAGTATAGTCTATAGTCTAGTCTATAGTCTAGTCTATAGTCTAGTCTATAGTCTAGTCTATAGTCTAGTCTATAGTCTAGTCTATAGTCTAGTATAGTCTAGTCTATAGTCTAGTCTATAGTCTAGTCTATAGTCTAGTCTATAGTCTAGTCTATAGTCTAGTCTATAGTCTAGTCTATAGTCTAGTCTATAGTCTAGTCTATAGTCTAGTCTATAGTCTAGTCTATAGTCTAGTCTATAGTCTAGTCTATAGTCTAGTCTATAGTCTAGTCTATAGTCTAGTCTAGTCTAGTCTATAGTCTAGTCTATAGTCTAGTCTATAGTCTAGTCTATAGTCTAGTCTATAGTCTAGTCTATAGTCTAGTCTATAGTCTAGTCTATAGTCTAGTCTATAGTCTAGTCTATAGTCTAGTCTATAGTCTAGTCTATAGTCTAGTCTATAGTCTAGTCTATGTCTAGTCTATAGTCTAGTCTATAGTCTAGTCTATAGTCTAGTCTATAGTCTAGTCTATAGTCTAGTCTATAGTCTAGTCTATAGTCTAGTCTATAGTCTAGTCTATAGTCTAGTCTATAGTCTAGTCTATAGTCTAGTCTATAGTCTAGTCTATAGTCTAGTCTATAGTCTAGTCTATAGTCTAGTCTATAGTCTAGTCTATAGTCTAGTCTATAGTCTAGTCTATAGTCTAGACTATAGTCTAGTCTATAGTCTAGTCTATAGTCTAGTCTATAGTGTAGTCTATAGTCTAGTCTTTAGTCTAGTCTATAGTCTAGTCTATAGTCTAGTCTATAGTCTAGTCTATAGTCTAGTCTATAGTCTAGTCTATAGTCTAGTCTATAGTCTAGTCTATAGTCTTGTCTATAGTCTAGTCTATAGTCTAGTCTATAGTCTAGTCTATAGTCTAGTATATAGTCTAGTCTATAGTCTAGTATATAGTCTAGTCTATAGTCTAGTCTATAGTCTAGTCTATAGTCTAGTCTATAGTCTAGTCTATAGTCTAGTCTATAGTATAGTCTATAGTCTAGCTATAGTCTAGTCTATAGTCTAGTCTATAGTCTAGTCTATAGTCTAGTCTATAGTCTAGTCTATAGTCTAGTCTATAGTCTAGTCTATAGTCTAGTCTATAGTCTAGTCTATAGTCTAGTCTATAGTCTAGTCTATAGTCTAGTCTATAGTCTAGTCTATAGTCTAGTCTATAGTCTAGTCTATAGTCTAGTCTATAGTCTAGTCTATAGTCTAGTCTATAGTCTAGTCTATAGTCTAGTCTATAGTCTAGTCTATAGTCTAGTCTAGTCTAGTCTATAGTCTAGTCTATTGTCTAGTCTATTGTCTAGTCTATGGTCTAGTCTATTGTCTAGTCTATGGTCTAGTCTATAGTCTAGTCTATAGTCTAGTCTATTGCCTAGTCTATAGTCTAGTCTATAGTCTAGTCTATAGTCTAGTCTATAGTCTAGTCTATAGTCTAGTCTATAGTATAGTCTATAGTCTAGTCTATAGTCTAGTCTATAGTCTAGTCTATAGTCTAGTCTATAGTCTAGTCTATAGTCTAGTCTATAGTCTAGTCTATAGTCTAGTCTATAGTCTAGACTATAGTCTAGTCTATAGTCTAGTCTATAGTCTAGTCTATAGTCTAGTCTATAGTCTAGTCTATAGTCTAGTCTATAGTCTAGTCTATAGTCTAGTCTATAGTCTAGTCTATAGTCTAGTCTATAGTCTAGTCTATAGTCTAGTCTATAGTCTAGTCTATAGTCTAGTCTATAGTCTAGTCTATAGTCTAGTCTATAGTAGTCTAGTCTAGTCTATAGTCTAGTCTATAGTCTAGTCTATAGTCTAGTCTATAGTCTAGTCTATAGTCTAGTCTATAGTCTAGTCTATAGTCTAGTCTATAGTCTAGTCTATAGTCTAGTCTATAGTCTAGTCTATAGTCTAGTCTATAGTCTAGTCATAGTCTAGTCTATAGTCTAGTCTATAGTCTAGTCTATAGTCTAGTCTATAGTCTAGTCTATAGTCTAGTCTATAGTCTAGTCTATAGTCTAGTCCATAGTCTGGTCTAGTCTAGTGTAGTCTAGTCTAGTCTATTGTCTAGTCTATAGTTTAGTCTATAGCCTAGTCTATAGTCTAGTCTATAGTCTAGTCTATAGTCTACTGTATAGTCTAGTCTATAGTCTAGTATATGGTCTAGTCCATAGTCTAGTTAATAGTCTAGTCTACAGTCTAGTCTATAGTCTAGTATATAGTCTAGTCTATAGTCTAGTCTATAGTCTAGTCTATATAGTCTTGTGAATGAATCATGGGTCCATCGAAGTTGATATTAAACATGATTACAATAGTTAGTTAGTTAATTTTTTTAAATTAAATTTATGTATATCATTAAGTGGCACCATACCACCCCTCCCCCAATGGGTTAATTGTGGTTACCAAAAAGAGCACATACAAAATATTTGATTTGAACTTTTTGTATGTAATTTTTGGCCAAAATAAGTATATGTTCCTGGAAATCACAAAATCTGTCTATTTTTTTCGTTTCTGTACATTCAACTTCATTTGATTGACATTGTTGTTATTGGTGGTGTCGGATATTGTGTTCTTTTTTTCAGTTTTTCCTCTTTGTTGTTGCTGCCATGATGTTATTGTTATTATTATCATTGTGTTGGCTTCTAATATATTTACAATTTAGTATTTGTTTGTCTTGCAAAGTGTTTTCTAGTTTTCTGGTTTGGGGTTTTGCTGTAATATTATTATTTAAACATGATTATTGATGAATGCCAATGGCTAGCAGTGTATACAATAAAAGCATATAACAGAGATTTTGTTTTAGTTTTTTTTTTTTTTGCTCTATTATGTCTATGTGTCTAACTGTCTGTCCGCCCATCTGTCTGTCTATCTTTCTATCTATCAATCTGTTTGTTATAAATATATTTATTTGATATGCGGAAAATGTAATTTTGTTTTTGTGTTTGAAATGATATTTAAAAATGTCGAAACGTTGTAGTGAGTATAATTTTAATTGAACATTATGTTTAATTTTACAGAAAAATTTTAATAAGTTATTACAACTGAAGGGATACCAAGAGTAGCGATAAACGTCCTCATTTTATTCTAAGATGTTAAGGATGCTAACGTCTTAGTATATTGGTAACTTGTGAAGTTTTCAATGTTACTAGGACATGTTTGCTTTACTTTTCGAAAGTCTTCATCAGCACTTTAACGAAAGTTCCCTCACTGATATATTATTCCCTCACTGATATATTCTTCTCTTAAAGTTATACAAATATGTTCAAGCTAGTATAATAAATCATCCAAAAAGTTTATTTCCTTTAATATTTTAAGCAATTTTATTTTCATATATTTTATTCCTCTGGACCCTTCAAACCATCACATTAATAAATTAATTTATTTTTCTATGTTTTCAGCAAATAAAAAAAAACATACATATGTTTCATGGATGTTGTGTTGTATGAACAAGTAAGTAGATTCTTATCATTATTTATAAATCAAAATCCAAAATAGCGAAAGAATAGGAAGAAAAATACATAAAAAACTCAATTCACTTAATTTTCATTACTTAATTCTACCCATCTCTAGAGGCCCCCACTACGCGCTTATAAGCAAATGAAATATGTTTGTATGTAGTAAATATAAATGAAACAGTTTGAGCCAAAAGTAAGTGGACATTTTGGGGTATAAAGAAAAAGAAATTATATAAATATAAAGTTTTTAAATATTTAAAATTGAATAAATTTTAAAATTTTTTCGACAAGTACTAACACTAATGGTACAAAAATTTTTCGTTCCCACTTTAACCATTATTGTAATGATGCTTGTCTTTACCCAACGGTGTAGCAGAAGTCAATGCATCAGTAGTTAGTTAGTTAGTTAGTGAGTGAGTGTAGTGAGTGAGTGAGTTAGTTAGTAGTTAGTAGTCAGTTAGTTAGTTAGTTAGTTAGTTAGTTAGTAGTAGTAGTTAGTATGTTAGTTAAGTTAGTTAGTTAGTAGTAGTTAGTTAGGTAGTTAGTAGTTAGTTAGTAGTAGTAGTTAGTTAGTTAGTTAGTTAGTTAGTTAGTTAGTTAGTTAGTTAGTTAGTTAGTTAGTTAGTTAGTTAGTTAGTTAGTTAGTAGTTAGTTAGTTAGTTAGTAGTTAGTAGTAGTTAGTTAGTTAGTTAGTTAGTTAGTTAGTTAGTTAGTTAGTTAGTTAGTTAGTTAGTTAGTTAGTTAGTTAGTTAGTTAGTTTAGTTAGTTAGTTAGTTAGTTAGTTAGTTAGTTAGTTAGTTAGTAGTTAGTTAGTTAGTTAGTTAGTTAGTTAGTTAGTTAGTTAGTTAGTTAGTTAGTTAGTTAGTTAGTTAGTTAGTTAGTTAGTTAGTTAGTTAGTTAGTTAGTTAGTTAGTTAGTTAGTTAGTTAGTTAGTTAGTTAGTTAGTTAGTTAGTTAGTTAGTTGTTAGGTTAGTTAGTAGTTAGTTAGTTAGTTAGTTAGTTAGTTAGTAGTTAGTTAGTTAGTTAGTTAGTTAGTTAGTTAGTTAGTTAGTTAGTTAGTTAGTTAGTTAGTTAGTTAGTTAGTTAGTTAGTTAGTTAGTTAGTAGTTAGTTAGTTAGTTAGTTAGTTAGTTAGTTAGTTAGTTAGTTAGTTAGTTAGTTAGTTAGTTAGTTAGTTAGTTAGTTAGTAGTTAGTTAGTTAGTTAGTAGTTAGTTAGTTAGTTAGTTAGTTAGTTAGTTAGTTAGTTAGTAGTTAGTTAGTTAGTTAGTTAGTTCAGTTAGTTAGTATTAGTTAGTTAGTTAGTTAGTTCGTAGTTAGTTAGTTAGTTAGTTAGTCGTTAGTTAGTTAGTTAGTAGTTAGTAGTTAGTTAGTTAGTTAGTTAGTTAGTTAGTTAGTTAGTTAGTTAGTTAGTTAGTTAGTTAGTTAGTAGTTAGTTAGTTAGTTAGTTAGTAGTTAGGTAGTTAGTTAGTTAGTAGTTAGTTAGTTAGTAGTTAGTAGTTAGTTAGTTAGTTAGTTAGTTAGTAGTTAGTTAGTTAGTTAGTTAGTTAGTTAGTTAGTTAGTTAGTTAGTTAGTTAGTTAGTTAGTTAGTAGTTAGTTTAGTAGTTAGTGTTAGTTAGTAGTTAGTAGTTAGTTAGTTAGTTAGTTAGTTAGTTAGTTAGTTAGTTAGTTAGTAGTAGTAGTTAGTAGTTAGTTAGTTAGTTAGTTATTTAGTTAGTTAGTAGTTAGTTAGTTAGTTAGTTAGTTAGTTAGTTAGTTAGTTAGTTAGTTAGTTAGTTAGTTAGTAGTTAGTTAGTTAGTTAGTTAGTTAGTTAGTTAGTTAGTTAGTTAGTTAGTTAGTTAGTTAGTTAGTTAGTTAGTTAGTTAGTTAGTTAGTTAGTTAGTTAGTTAGTTAGTAGTTAGTTAGTTAGTTAGTTAGTTAGTTAGTTAGTTAGTTAGTTAGTTAGTTAGTTAGTTAGTAGTTAGTTAGTTAGTTAGTTAGTTAGTTAGTTAGTTAGTTAGTTAGTTAGTTAGTTAGTTAGTTAGTTAGTTAGTTAGTTAGTTAGTTAGTTAGTTAGTAGTTAGTTAGTTAGTTAGTTAGTTAGTTAGTTAGTTAGTTAGTTAGTTAGTTAGTTAGTTAGTTAGTTAGTAGTTAGTAGTTAGTTAGTTAGTAGTTAGTTAGTTAGTTAGTTAGTTAGTTAGTAGTTAGTTAGTTAGTTAGTTAGTTAGTTAGTTAGTTAGTTAGTAGTTAGTTAGTTAGTTAGTTAGTAGTTAGTTAGTTAGTTAGTTAGTTAGTTAGTTAGTTAGTTAGTTAGTTAGTTAGTTAGTTAGTTAGTTAGTTAGTTAGTTAGTTAGTTAGTTAGTTAGTTAGTTAGTTAGTTAGTAGTTAGTTAGTTAGTTAGTTAGTTAGTTAGTTAGTTAGTTAGTTAGTTAGTTAGTTAGTTAGTTAGTTAGTTAGTAGTTAGTTAGTAGTTAGTTAGTTAGTTAGTTAGTTAGTAGTTAGTTAGTTAGTTAGTTAGTTAGTAGTTAGTTAGTTAGTTAGTTAGTTAGTTAGTTAGTTAGTAGTAGTTAGTTAGTTAGTAGTTAGTTAGTTAGTTAGTTAGTTAGTAGTAGTTAGTTAGTTAGTTAGTTAGTTAGTTAGTTAGTTAGTTAGTTAGTTAGTTAGTTAGTAGTTAGTTAGTAGTTAGTAGTTAGTAGTTAGTTAGTTAGTAGTTAGTTAGTTAGTTAGTTAGTAGTTAGTTAGTTAGTTAGTAGTTAGTAGTTGTTAGTTAGTTAGTTAGTTAGTTAGTAGTTAGTTAGTTAGTTAGTTAGTAGTTAGTTAGTTAGTTAGTAGTTAGTTAGTTAGTTAGTTAGTTAGTTAGTTAGTTAGTTAGTTAGATTAGTTAGTTAGTAGTAGTTAGTTAGTTAGTTAGTTAGTTAGTTAGTAGTTAGTTAGTTAGTTAGTTAGTAGTAGTTAGTTAGTTAGTTAGTTCGTTAGTTAGTTAGTTAGTTAGTTAGTTAGTTAGTAGTTAGTAGTTAGTTAGTTAGTTAGTTAGTTAGTTAGTTAGTAGTTAGTTAGTTAGTTAGTTAGTTAGTTAGAGATTACTTTGTACATTTGCAATCGTGGGGAAATGTGGCTGCAGACTACACTCCTGCAGGGGCGTTTGTTTATCTACTACTAATGCATGTCTATGCCTACTCTAAGTGAATTAAATATTATTTATCTTGTTGTTTAACAACAAACAATAACAATATGTTTGTCTATTTGTTCTGTTTGATTTGCCACCAGAGAATTGCATTAATGCATATTTGTATTAATTTTAACTTTTTACTATTGTTTTTGGAGCTGTTATCTTAAAATGATTATCAACAAGCATTTTTTTTTTTCGATTTCATTAAGGAATTAGTTAATATTTTATTTTCATAGCGTAGATAAATGATTGGAATTATAGCGAAAAATATATCAACAAGGGAACAATACATTCATATACAGGCAAAACAATTCTGTAGAAACTTTTAACAATATGTACTACGTATGTATGTATATCATTACTCATGCCACAAACAGATTTTTTTGTTGCGTTTATTTAGACCATTTGTCAAAAACAGCAGAACATTAATAAAAAGACGAGATCCATTGTTAGATAAAATATGAGGCGTAGTTTATTGGTAGCTGAAGTCAATAGAATATTGAATGTGTCCATAATTAATTTAAGTTGTATAATTAAGTTTGTTTGTAGTGGTGGGTTTAAGTATGGAATTGCATTTTTCTCAAGGCTAAAAAATTAAATTAAATTAAAATTAAATATGGCAAATATTTAAAGCATATATTAAAGAAAAATCAAAAATATAAAGGATACATTCTATCGTCTCGACTAAAGACCAGCCTTTAGGCTTGACCAAGGACCAGTCTATAGTCTAGACTATAGACCAGTCTATATTCTTCACTATAGACCAGTCTATAGTCTTGACTATAAACCAGTCTAAAGTCTTGACTATAAACCAGTCTAAAGTCTTGACTGTATAGACTGATCTTGACTATAGACCAGTCTATAGTCTTGACTATAGACCAGTCTATAGTCTTGACTATAGACCAGTCTATAGGTCTTGACTACAGGCCAGTCTATAGTCTTGACTATAGGCCAGTCTATAGTTTTGTTTATAGACCAGTCTATAGTCTTGACTATGGACCAGTCTATAGTCTTGACTATAGACCAGTCTACAGGCCAGTCTATAGTCTTGACTATAGGCCAGTCTATAGTCTTGACTATAGGCCAGTCTATAGTCTTGGACTATAGGCCAGTCTATAGTCTTGACTATAGGCCAGTCTATAGTTTGTTTATAGACCAGTCTATAGTCTTGACTATAGACCAGTCTGTGGTCTTTACTGTACACCAGACTATAGTCTTTACTATAGACTAGTCTATAGACTTGTCTATAGATCAGTCTATAGACTTGACTATAGACCAGTCTATAGTCTTGAATATAAAACCGTCTATAGTCTTGACTATTGACCAGTTTACAGTCGTGTCTATAGACCAGTCTATAGACCAGTCTATAGTCTTGTCTATATTCCAGTCTATAGTCTTGACTATAGACCAGTCTATAGTCTTGTTTATATTCCAGTCTATAGTCTTGACTATAGACCAGTCTACAGTCTTTACTATAGACCAATCTATAGTCTTGACTATAAACCAGTCTAAAGTCTTGAATATTTAGACTGGTCTAAAGTCTTCTGACCAGTCTATATTCTTGACTATAGACCAGTCTATAGTCTTGACTATAGACCAGTCTAAAGACTGACTATATTTCAGTCTATAGTCTTGACCATAGGCTATTCTATAGTCTTTGCTATGGACTAGTCTATGGTCTCGACTATTGACCAGTCTATAGTCTTTACTATAGAGCAGTCTATAGTCTTGAATATAGACCAGTCTATATTCTTGACTATAGACCAGTCTATAGTTTTGTTATAGACCAGTCTATAGTCTTGACTATAGACCAGTCTGTGGCCTTTACTGTACACCAGTCCATAGTCT